TATTAAATTTCTCTTTCTTTTGTGATTACATATTTGCTTATAAAAGGATGAAAACAATATCCCTGAAATTGATTTCTACTAATGCATTTTGAGAGCTTCCGTAGTTGGAGACCTGTTTTATGTTGGATTTCAATTAAGTCAAAATATGAACCTTTTATAATGGAACAATTAACATCGGTCGGTAAACAACACAAAAATAGAAATGAACATTTGTCATTTGTGCATGTACTTAATATATATATTTAACCAAGCCTAAAAGCGGAGCTCCTGGGCCAGGTTGTTCAAAGCCGGATCAAGTTAACCCAGGATAAGCGAGAATTTTGATTTGAGTTTTGTAACTTTGCGAAAAGATTTTCTGTATATTGTTTAGCTCTCTATTTTTAGTTTAAATACTCTCAAACCACACAAAACAAAAGCAGTGAAAAACATTTTTGTACTAGGAAAATTTATACTTTGGTTAACTCTTAACCTGGCCCTGTTTACAACAAGTTCACCTGAATTGAGCTGCGATCCAACTGAAAACTAGCACTTGGTCAGCGGTCAACTTCAAAAAAGCACGAGGCCTCGATGAGCTATAAACTCGAGCCTGCGATATGGTCACCTGAAACTGGTCGGCGGATACCTTGCTTTGACAGGTGTAAGTTGACCATAACAGGGATGTCCAATGTCAAAAAAGGAGGCTATAAACCAAGGCTGCATGTCTCTGGAGTATGGCCGTCATCTTGAGCAACTCCGCCACCGCCGCCATCGTCGTCATCGTCGTGCGTACACTCCCACGAGCAATTCGCTAGCCATGATAACCATGCATGAAAAAAATCAACTCATGGGTTTCCTTTTTTTTTTTCCTTGGCGGTACGGGCCGCCTGAGCTCCACTATAATCGAGTTTAGACACTGAAATTAATTGAATGTTATTTCTTTATTTTAAAAGCCTCAGGAAATCCCTCAGTGAATGTTGTTTTATCTGCATTAGAGTTTTGTTTGGTTTGATTATTTAACTTTATCCACCTTCCCTACTGAAATAATTTCTTCACGATAAATTGATTGTAAAATATTGCTTTGAATACAAACTGCAATTTGCTATAATCAACAACAACGGGTTTCCGTTTGTTAAGTTACAACATTATTCTTTTGGAATTCGCTTTATCTTCCAATGAAATCCATTTAAAACTAAGTGGGCTAATTAGATTCTGTTTAAACCTCGAGAGGTTTAATACATAACATATGTGAACTAGTAGTAGACAAGAAATAACTTTGAGATAAAAACGCACAATTTTATATTTGCAAAACATGTTTCGGATGACCAACAACCGTCTTCAGTGCAATCCCGTGTAATTTTAAAAACACAAAACAGGCATTATTTTTTCCTCTATTCAGTAAATAAGGTGTTAACCGAAGTTCAAGAATTCTTGCTGGACTGTTAGGGCCTGATGTCATCATATTCCGGATAGAACCGAACCATAACTTACTTAGTAAGTAGTATTGGCCGATAAAATAAAATAT